TTTAGAAAGATTACAGGGATTTAGATTGACAGGAATGATCAAGTTTTTTTCTATGTGGTGGATCTACATAACTTATAATAAATTACAAGCCAAATAAACAGTGATTTTTATAGTTTTTTGGAAAGTGTAACAGTATTCAAGTGAAGAAATTAAACAATCAAATGTAAGAAAACGGTCATCGTTGTATAGATGATAATAAATATATATATTTATATATATTTTTTTTTATAATCCTAAAAGATTGTAGCTTGTTAGACTGCATAAAAATGGTCAACTTCATGTCAAAGTGTTGGATCTCAGTTGTCATACTGAATGACAATAAATATGAGTTTTATTCACCATGTGTGCGTAAAACAAGGTATTCTGGGTACATACATATCAACACAAGAACACAGAATGACATTTAAATAAGTGGATTAAACAAGTGGAAGATAGATAGATAGATAGATAGATAGATAGATAGATAGATAGATAGATAGATAGATAGATAGATAGATAGATAGATAGATAGATAGATAGATAGATAGATAAGGTTTGTGCAATATGTGCATTGTTGACTTTCTTTTTTTTTAACTGTACAAATAAGAAATAAAAATATTTATATGAAAGTATTTACAATTAAGTGGCTTTATAGGTTACAAAAACCATAAACAGTTGCGTCATGTATGTTTGTGAGCATAAGAAAACTGGTAGCAAATGATTTGCAAACTATTTAAGTTGGAGAGGATTTAAGTTGGCCTGAGGAAAAATATTACAAAGGAAAGGAAAAGTAAAGACACAGTTGCACAAGAAAACTAACCTGGAGTTTAGTGTCATCCCTCAGTGATGAATTCATTGACCCACATTCTGAAATGATACCTCACAGTTAACATGAGCGGTGATTTTGCTCTGAGCATGCCTCAATAAGAAAACAAGGAAAAAGTATTTTTATTTGCAGTGTTTTTAAGTTCTTGCACTGACTGCATCATCTTCATCATTCTATTGATTCTTCAACTGACGCTTGTCATAGCAGAAGTCAGTGTAAATGTGTGTGGCTTATCCTTATTCTTACATCCTTTTTTAAAGGTGGCGCCACCTGCTGAAGTGGAGGATGTTGGTGTTGTTGACCCCGCGATGACAGCAGTGCCTGTTCCCCAAGTCAGAGCACCCATCCTATGGACTGCCTGGGTGTTTTTTAAAGCCTTTTTTGCTTCTCTGATACCTGAGCCTCCACAGGGTATTGCAAACTGATCCAGAAGCAGTCAGACAGAAATGACAAAAACTGAACTATCAAGCTCTTAGGACAGGACATTATAAACAAAGGCTACAAATCCTAGAAGTGGTAGCACTTTCCAGTTCTTTTGGCTGTGTGACCTATGGCTGCACATTCTAAACAAACAAGTGCTTGGACATGGAGTTGTAAATATCGCTGGACAGTTTTTGCACAGCACTTTAGATAACCGCAACGGCTGGAATCGATAGTGTCGGTTGCCTGACCTGATCCTCTTATGTAGGCTTCTGTCACCAAGACTTCATTTTTTTGAAGTGCTCCTCGATGAGTGTCCAAGGATTAAACTCATGGGATTATCTTATTAAGGTTCTAGTATGATGGACGACGAAGGCCACATATTGATTTTGTTCTAAGCGCATGAAAAGATGGAAAGTGCTTGGGAAAATGCATTTGTGGTACTTTGAAGCTAATGGCGTTTATGCAAGTAAAGTATGCCTACATGTTCTCTTTTTTAATTGTGCTCGACCTGTGAAATGAGTAATGTTAATATTTATGAGGGACGCGTTCAAGTATTGTGAGTGGAATTTGCAATTCAATGAGGAGAGTTTGTTGGTGACCTCGGGATGAGCAGAAGGTGAATGAACCACACTTTGAATATCGCATCTTCATGACATGATGGAACTGCACTTTGGGACCTGCAAAAGAGGAGAACAAAATATAACTAATAATATATATGAAAAATTCAAATGACTGATTTGTAATCTGATATTTATCAACACTGTAGCATTGCTGTCATTTCAGATTATGTATAATCAAGCTTTGTTATTAACATCATGAAAGTAAGCCTCTTTGTACCAGAAAATGAAAACAATAAACACAATTTCCTCATTTCAGTTTCACTTTGAAGCTCTTTGAATAGTGTCATAGAAATGTAACAGGGTTTTGATTTTATTTGTATCACTTTTTCTTGTGTAGTTTTTTTTTAATTTTAAACATCTATCTGAAAGTTCTGAATCTGAAAGCTGTTTTTTCCCAAGTTTGAGTTCATCATTTAAAAATGTAATGTAAATACTTTGATCTTACTATAGTTTGTATTTCTCCTAGGTCAGATACATGCATTATGCAGCTAGTTCATCCAGTTGGTGGCTTGTGTACATGTATTACCCATATGTGCTGTTGCATGTTTTATAGCCTCTCTGGGGTGATTTTTGAGTTTTAATTTAATTTAACTGTTTCTGTTTCAGCTAGCTGAATGATTTTTGGTGACATTATATTTTGACACTTATTTTAAAACTCAATGGTGCACTATGACAAGGTTTCCTACCCTTTTGTTATGTTCGGGATGAAAATACCACTAAACTAAACTGCTGTAAAAATGCATCCGATAAATCTGTTATTCAGCTTCAATCTTGATCAAAAATACTACATTTCTTAGAAAATTTCAGGATTTTAACTCTTTAGTTACTGATTTGGTGAACAAACACAAAATGATGGATTTTCTTTATAGAAAGTAGTTGTGGACTGGATTTTCTATTACATTTGATCAAACTCTTGAATGTGAAACAACATTCCCTTTGATGCATTGTTTTTGATTCCCATTTGATTTTGATTTTTACCATTGATCATTAGTTTGCAACATTAACCCTTTAGATAGGCCTGTGCAAAAAAAGCCTAGTTTCTGGCTTTTATATGGAATATAACAGCAGATTAAATTGTGTGTCTGTGAGAGTGAACTTTGCGCACTTGCCTTGACTGAGTGTCTGATAAAATCAAAATATGCATCTCAGCTCTCAGAACTACAATGACTAAATAAAAACAAAGACTGTGTGTGTATTTATGCACCATCAAATGTGGTTATATTGGAAGTCAATGTAGCAAAAACAGTCACCAAAAAGTAAGTAAATTAATCTAACAATGTGTCAAAGCCAATGTTGGTACTGATCTTTCACATGTCCAAGACTGTGTTTTAAAATTTTTGTTTTAAAGAAACAGTCCACAATTACTTTTTACCTTAAAAATACATCTTTTTTCACCAAATCAGTGACATCATTTATAAATTTGGCAATTAAAGAGTAAAATAATGTTTTTAAAAATATATATTTAGTAGTTTTGCTCAAGACTGAGGTTGATTAACAGATTTATGCAAAAAATTATTAATCTGATGCATTTTTTAACAGCAGTTTAATTCAGTGGATGTTTTCATCCTGATCATAACAAAAGGGTAGTAAACTTGAACCGTGCACAAGGGTTAATAAACAGTGTATTGATTAACATGTCTTAGTGAGATACTAACACATGTAAGCACACTTGGTATGTTTTAATTGCTAAAATAACATTATCCTGTACACTTTTATCAAGTAGTCAGATTTGTCACTAGTATGTTTATACATTGTTTCTATGGTTTGACACGTCAGTGGCACATTATTATTAGCATGTTGAAACCAGTAGCTAGAATATTTTAGCTAGTGCTACGTTATCGCACATTATCTACTTATCAGTAGCATGTCTAGTTACTAGAATGTTTCAGTTTTAATACCAGATTGCATGTTAACCATAGAAGCATGTTTTAACAAGTCGTTAGCGTGTTGGTGCTACCATGCATGTTTTAGCACAATGTTTACAAGTTTAGTATGATAAAACATGGTTAATTTAAAGGACATATTTTAGCAAGTGTTTTGATGATCTTAGCTTGTTTGTTATGTTTTGTCAAATTGTTAACATGTTTTGCATTGGTGGTATACTTTAGCAAGTTGTCATCATGTTTTTGCACACTATTAGCATGTTGTGGCAAGTTTCTAGTATGTTTGTCTTCAACTTAGTGTTGTTAGCAGGTAAAGTCGAGATAAGATACATGACCGGCCGGAAGTTCGATATGCACATCAATATAGCTACATTTTTATGACACTTCATAACAATAATTCATATTTTTACAGCACTGTGACGGCTGGGTTTAGGGTTGGCGTAGATGTTAAAAACAGTACAGTTTATTGGGTAATTTAATAGAGAACACAAATAATACTCGGTACAGCTACAGTTTTTGTGTTACTGTGGCGGCTGGGTTTAGAGTTGGGGTGGAGGTAGACGTTAATAAAATACAATTAATAGGACATTTAATAAATAATATAAATCATTTTCTTTAACTTCTGGCCACAACCCTGATCTAGCAACAACTTTGTTAGCAGGCTACGTTTTTGACAATGTGTTTATTTGCACAAACTGGTAAATTCTGGGCCTATAGCTAGACTAAAAACGTCACAGCTCAATTATAATACGCAAAACAATGCATTATCTCTTCACAGTGATAACATTTGTCTACAGACAGACTACAATATTTTTTATAATTTGTCAACAACCTATTTATTTCCAAAGCCACTTCCTGCAGACTCTGCTGTTCACACCTAGAAGAATTTATATCAATTTTTAAGACAGTGAGGTTACTTGAAGGGATAGTTCACCCAAAAATGAAAATTCTGTCATGATTTACTCACCCTTGACTTGTTGGAAACCTGTAATTAATTATATTTGTTATTCCTACTATGAATGCCAATGGTTACGGATGTCTGGTCTTCAAAATATCTTAATAAACTCAAACTGGTTTGAAACAAGTCGAGGCTTAGTAAATGTTGACAGACTTTTATTTTTTGGGTAAAGTATCCCTTTAATGGTTTTGAGCTTGTCCACCTACGTGAACTTTGTCCTTCTCTTGTCCACTCTGTCTATATCTTTTATTTGTTTTGTGCAGCCGATTGTCCAGAAAACATTGCTGTGGACTGTTTACTGTCCTCCAGTAACCTCGAGCAACATGTGCAAGTCGGCCTGAGGAGCAAATCAGCCCTTACAGGTCCTGTCCACCCCCTCTTCCTCTGGGACACCGCTGGATCTGTCCCTCCTCCTCAGACACTTGCTGAATGAAAACAGGGCTCTTTTGAAGAAGCACTATTAGGAGTCAAAGACTGTTGAGATGGAGAGGAGAGCAGTGCTGTTCCTGGTTGTCGCTCTGGTCAAGATAAGCTGTTGCTGTCTGGATCCTCCTGCTGCCTACAGGTTTACAGGAGCTGTTTGTAGGCTTACCTATCCTGCTGCTGTAGTCTGTAAGTACATGCTCATTTATGCTAGTCAGACCTTCATGTTATATCTGCATTATTAATTTAATTAAAAAAACTGTCTCTGGAATCTTGTTTATTGTTTGTACCACAGTTACACTTTTAAAAAGATTTTAAGTGATTAGAAACATTGGCCTGTTGATGTTCTGACTAGTTTTAATAGTCTTTGTATGTGTGTTTTTAAAGATGAACACTGAAAAAATTTATTCAAAGATAATTCCTTGGATTTACTCAATTTCTTTACGTTAAGAGTTTGTAAACAATTTATTTGGGCTGAATTTGAACAAACAAATTTAGTTGAACATTACTAAACTTAATTTGTTTGTTTAAATTCAACACAATTAAATTGTTTGCAACAGTTCTGCATGCAACACTTTTTTCAGTGAATGATGTTATCTGTTTTGTTTGTTAGTAACTTTTATGTTGTATAACATTTGTGGCTGCCTCGAAAGATATTAAAATTGTTCTTACTTATTTAAAACTATTTAAATCAGTTGAAACAGAACCTTTCCAGTTTTACAACTATTAAGCTAAAAAAAAAAAGATTTAAAAATGATTCCTTGAATTTACAAATTTACAAATAAACGCAAAAACTTAACTATATAAACTTTTATACCTTTATATTCCTTTACAGTGCTCAGCAAGTACACCCCTCACAAATCTAACCTTTAAATTCATTTTTTAATAGGAAGCTATAGAATATTATATTTGTGCATATACATAGATTAGTCAGTACTGAAGCCAAATCTGTGGCTTATCTAACAAAATAACTTACGATAACAGTCCAAAAACTAATATACAGCCAAATTTATATGTTATAGAATAATATTAAATACACATTTTAAAAGAGAAAAATTAAGAAAAACAAGAATTTTTTAATTTAGTTGAAATTTTGTAAGTTGAATTTTTTTTTTTGCAATATTTTTCCTGAAATTAATTGTTTTATCTTCGCATTTGGTGACTAAAATAATGTTTTTATAAATATCTGTTAAATAAATCTGTTTTGTTCAAATGCACCAAAATACATTGCCTATATTCACTGAAAAATGGATACAAATATTCATTTTCAAAATGGGATGAATTCATTTATGCTGAGCAGTACCTGCTTTGTATTACAGTATATTACCACTAAACAATAATAATAATAATGTTACAAAAAATTGTATTTTCAATTAATGTTAATGAATACTTTTATGTATATAAGTAAATTCAGTTTTTACAAATTATGGAATATACAAACAAGTTTTCAACGTCAATAATAAGTTAGCAGTATATACTAAATCAGCTGAAAATGATAATAGCATATATATATATATAATGTATTTTTGATCAGATTATTAATGTCAAACTTTTTTGTCTTTATCCTTAAATATGAACCTCTTGAGGTTTTATTCTAAAAAATATAAATCATTTAAAAACCCAGAAACTTATGTTCATTAGTAAATATAATAGAAAAAAAAATTTGTATTTAATTGTTTTATTTTATTATATTATTATATTTTAGGATTTAATTATTAGCCCAAATGTCCTGCTTTTTCATTGACATTGCGAGCCCAAGCAAATAATTTTCTCTCTTGAATCCTCAGTGAATGAGAAAACCACTGAAGTCATACAAGCCGCTTTCCAGCATGCCAAATATCCCAGTGTACAGGGAGAGCGATCAATAGGCTTTGGGACGGTCAAATACGGATTCCACAAGTGCGTTTGTTTACACGATATGTTTGCTTCTGTTTTACATTCTGCATCTTACAGTACCTCTCTCTACTTTGCCAGTTTAGAGATTCACAACCTTTCCATCGGAAAGAGCGAGTTTGAGCTGAAGGAGAATGTAGGGATCGGCATCGCCATTTCCAACGTGTATGCTGTATTTAAAGGGACCATCAACTATGGATATGGCAGCTGGCTGTGAGCGTTTCTATTTATTACTGCATTTATTAGTAGTATGAGGTTTCTGCAATAACACAGCTATGGTTTAAACCTGTACTCTGCACGTTTTTGTAAAACTGTGATCTTTTAAGTAGCTTGAAGTTTTCAAAAGAGTAAAAATTTATAAATCTTTTTTTTACCTCATGGTTTGTTGAAAAAAAATTTCTCAATTTCATAGTAAATATTTTAAGAGCTGTTTTGTTTTACCTCTTCTTTTCTCTTTTCATTTTTGAATGACAGGCTATTCTAGAAATAAGTCTTAAACACATCAAATGATCTGGCTTTTACTAAAGTTGGTTCATTATGTTTTACATTATGCATTAACTTGACTGGGGCAATATTATTTTTTAAATGAGTTAATATTGTTAAGAATCATTATTGTAAAACTATATATTTTAATGTATATGTGCACATTGCACTTTTTCAGTTCTAAAATGTACACACTAGTAATTTTTTGAGACATTATCCATTTTTTTTGCTTTATATTTTATTATTATTATATTTTAAACTTTGGAAAACCTGGATGTCTGATTATGATGTCTTATTATTTTACACTTCCTCACAAAAGCCTTGTTGCCTATTCAAGTTTTAGGAACAATAAATAATGGCTTGACTTAGTTGATCATTTGGAACCAGAAGTGGCTTATATGAAAGGCAAAGGCCTCTAGATTATGATTAATTTACCTAAATAAAATATGATCATTGCCTTAACTTTTAATTATTTAATTAGGACAGTAAGGCCTGACTTTGCTTAGACAAAAGTCTTGTCGCTTAACATTGAGAATTAATTTTGTGTATGACTCCCATTAGCTTGGAGGACTGCATACATCTCTGCGATGACTCAAATAACTTATTAATAAAGTCATGTGTAATGGTAAAGAAAGCGTTCCTGCCGTAATCTTAGAGACAGAGTTCATCAAGATTCTTTGGATTCATCTTCAATGCCTCCTTCATCTTACCCCAGACATGCTCAATAATGATCATGTCTGCTGACTGGGCTGGCCAATCCTGGAGCACCTTGACCTTCTTTGCTTTCAGGAACTTTGATGTGGAGGCTGAAGAACGAGAAGGAGCGCTATCCTGCTGATTTGCCCTCTCCTGTGGTTTGTAATGTAATGGGCAGCACAAATGTCTTGATACCTCAGGCCGTCGGTGTCGCAGATCTCTCGCATGCCCCCATTACTGAATGTAACACCAAACCATGATTTTCCTTCACTAAACTCCATGCGGGTTCCAATAGGCCTACTGCAGTATTTGTGATGATTTGAGATGCAATTCAACAAGTGATTCTTCAGAAAAATCTACCTTCTGCCACTTGATCAACTAGAAATCAGGTTATTATTTTTTGCTCTTACAACTTGGATTAATGACAAGACTTTTGTCAGGTAGTGTATATTATACAATTATATATATATTTAATGTGTTTTTCATTGACAATTTCAACCTCTGTGCTCATACTGTGCAATAAATATTTAATCTAAAAGGCTACTTTAAGGCTAGAGAGTCATTCAACATTGATATGGACAATGTAGGCCCTAGATTAAAAAAGGAGAGGAAAGAACTACTGAATTAAAGTGAGAAGACAAAAAGTGTACACTGAATTTCAACACCGGTTGTTCATAACAGTATGACTGTTGTGTTCTTCCTCACACAGGCTCAGCTTAAACCAGTCAATGGATTTTGAAGTTGAGTCTCAAATTGACCTGGTCATCAATCCAAAACTATGTGAGTGCGTCTCATCCTACTTTTAAACAGCCAGTTTTGACATAACGCTGAAATGAAACAGGCTGTTTTAGTTATTGAAAAAGGTGTGTGTTTGTGTGTCAGACTGTGGTAAAGGCAAAGTGGCTGCAGACACATCCGACTGTTACCTCACATTTCACAAACTGAAGCTGCTTCTGCAAGGAGACAGAGAGTGAGATCAGCATTTCACACCTCCGAACCCTATCTAGCTATTTATCTGTCGGTCTTTCTTTCTTTCTTTCTTTCTTTCTTTCTTTCTTTCTTTCTTTCTTTCTTTCTTTCTTTCTTTCTTTCTTTCTTTCTTTCTTTCTTTCTTTCTTTCTTTCTTTCTCTCTATATATATATATCTCCATATCTATCTAGGTCTTTGCTTATAAGTCACTTCCGGGGGATCAAAGAGACATATTTCTATCCATATGCAATGCCCACTCGCAAGCGCTTTTACATGACTCTTGCTTTGACTGTTTGCAGGCCAGGCTGGATGAAAAAGATGTTTACAGATATTGTGACTTTCACAGTGAAGTTAGTTGTAAAGTCACAGGTGAGTGTGTCTAGACTCTTCTGCTGTAGTTAGTTTGCGAGATGCTATTATTCAATGATTTGTGCTAAGTTGAGACACATTAGATCTGGAGATCGACTTAGTAGATTCAAAATATTAAAACTTAGCTATTTAACTTTAGGGGAGTTGTAAAATTAACCAATTTACAAAAAAGTGGAGTGTTCCTTTTAAATAGTTTGAAGCCGTATACTGTAAATAGGTGCATGATTATCAGGAGGAAAAGGCAAAACTGAAATTTTAGTTGTTGTTTTTTTATTATTATTTTCAGACTGCTGTTTCATTAACTTATAATAAAACAAGACTTTAGATTAGGTTAGATCTAAGCAAAATACCCTATAACATGCCTTACATCTCAGAGTGTCCTGACTTTTTGGCGTCTTTTCTTTACCAACAGATCTGCAAGGAGATAAACAGTGTGGCCAACATACTAGCTGACTTTATACAGGAGCAAGCAGGTAAAAAGCAGAGCTCTCTTTAATGTGTATGTTGTTTATCATGCTTTATTTGTTGTTGTAATCAATGTCTGTCTGAACAGAGCAGTTTCTTAGTGAAGGAGGCATCGGTGTGGACATCTCTGTGACCTCCTCCCCAGTGATCAAATCGAATTATATAGAATCATACCATAAGGTCTGATCATAAGGGACTAGTTTTTTTTGTAACTTTAAATACACAAATGCAGAAATCATTTTATGATGTGTTAATGTTGTTCTTTTAATTAAACAGGGTTTGGTTACTTTTAATAATGAGACATCAGACCTCAGCAACTCTGTGTTTCACCCTTCACAACTGTCTGAGGGCCGCATGCTTTACTTCTGGTTCTCTGATGGCCTTCTAGACCCGTTATTGGGTGCCATCCATAATGACGGACGATTTGTGCGCAGTATCTCTGGAACAGAACTCACGGTAAGATACTATAATATTAGTATTAGATGTGGTGGAGACATTTCCAATGTTATGTACTGTAAGCTTTGTTTGTATCCCTCCGTTTCTCTGCACGTTGGTGTAATTAATGTTTTAACTGTAGAGGGTGCTGTGGAGTAAATGGTTGGCACGTGGTTTTTGCATTGCATACAAACGAACACTATAAAAATCAGTTCCTAATGTTTTTGCCTGTTCAATGGTTCTTTAGAAGAAGAAAAAAGAGAGCGAAAGAGAGAAATGTTATATGATTTTTCTGTATTTTAACAGTAAAGCATAAGAATTGAAGCAAATAATTCCATATTTTTTGAGAAAAGCTGTCACAAAAGTTTAGACCACAAATCAGTCCCATAGGCAGCCTGGTGAAAGGTGGACCTTCTTGCAGTTATTCACCTCATTTCTATTTAATCATAAGATTTAAATAATGCATTTTAGTGACATTTTAAGCACTATTTTTAACTGGATTAATTTAAACTGGAGCTTGTTGGATGGTCATCATAACCACACATTTTGATGTACCAAAAATATTTCCGATTTAATATTTTAAATAGAGAATAAAGAAATATGAAAAATAATTATTTTTTAAAATACTTATTTATTACAACATATGTCATCATAAGAAAAAAAATAAGAATCCATTAAAGTAAAAACTAAAATAAATAACTAATAAATAAATAAATAAATAAACAAATAAAATTATTAAAATAAATAACTTAAATTAAAAACTGTAGTCTAAAAACTGTCATTTATCAATCAACCTTCCAGAAATTGGCCTTTTTATTAAAACAATTTAAACATAATAATAATAATAATAATAATAATAATAATAATAATAATAATAATAATAATAATGTAGAGTTTCACAATTTGTCTAGCCTCTTTTGTAAAAAAGAAAGTACATTTGAAAATTCATGGACAACAAAAATAGCCAAAATAGTGTTCAAATTAACTTTAATATGGCCATTTTTTGTGCTTCACTTTTTATTTGTCATTTTTTTGTTTTAAAAATAAGCTCCAAGCTTTAGAATAAAAGTTACTTGCAAAATGTTTTCTCTATTTAAAAACAATAGCAAAAAATGACTTATCCTCCATCAGATTATAAAATGAAAATATTTGTTTGCACTGGCCAACTGATTAGCTGAAGTCACACTAGAGCGAAAGCCAACAGAGGATTCCGCTTGGTCATAAAGTCCTTTTTAATGGGTTATTAGCCCTATTCATAATGGCAAAGCAGTCAAAATAGGACAAATAAGTTCATGTATGGGACAAATTCTGGAATTTTGAGGGGTCAGTGAGAGGTGGGTCTTCCAAACCACACAAACTCCCAGTGGTATCTGGATGCAGTCTTTATGATGCAAGCTGACATTGCATCACTTAGAGATACAATTAATGGAGCTAGTGATGTCAGTGTGAGGGGTGGGGTTAGGTGACTGCATTACAAAACATTGGATGCAGCTCAGATTGCTTCTGCACCCCCCCCCCAACCCCCCCCCCCCCCCCCCCCGGCTATGGACCTGCAAAAATATACTGAATAAAAAGAAATGTCCCTGGCTGCAAAATGCTATAGAGATTGCTCAATGCACAAAAATGTATTGTTGTATGATTTCATTACAAAAAAAAAATAATAATATCAATATAATTACTAATATCATTTACATGTATAAGAAAAAATATTTTTATAACAGCATCAGTAGCAACTCTAGGATTGAAAAACCACATCTGTTGTTCAGTGTTTTTTTAATAAATAAATAAATATAAAGCAGTTTTATTTGTAATTAATTGTTTTGCTATAGGTATAATACATTGTTTTATTGTGTTTATATTTTAGTCAAGGTTTTAGTATATTTTTGGTCATTGTATTATTATGATTGTTTTTATTGTCATTTCAGTTTCTAATTTAGTTGTTTTAGTACATCAAGCTTAGAAAAATGCTAAAAATGTTTGGCATCTACCTAAATAATATAAGATTTTGTTTGTCTGAATGAATGACCCTGCTTTAACACTATGTACTGTTTTGAGTCATATTCACTTGTATGTATCTCTGTTTTACAGGATCTGTTTCAGACTGAGCTGTCTACAGCCAGGCCTGAACTGTTGAGTAAGGTACTAAACCACAACTTCACAACTTACAGACATGCAAATAAATGTTTCCATTTAAGGCACCCTTCACGGGCAGCATCTGTGTGTTTGAATGCATTCAATTCAATTCATCTTTATTTCTATAGCACTTTTACAATGTAGATGGTGTCAAAGCAGCTTAACATAGAACATTCTATGTGATGGGCTTTTATCTTCTCTCTAGTGGCTTTCTTCTGAGGGTCCGGTGTTAAAGGCAAGGAGTGTGTCGATTCCACACTTATGGACCACCACACAGGGCACATCAGTCAGAGTCATGGCTGGAGTTCAGCTCTTACTGGATGGTCAAGAGACGCCAGTGCTTTATTTTGAGACAGTAAGATAAAACACACACAAACAGCCTAGATGGATGGATAGACAGACAGATGGATAGATAGATAGATAGATAGATAGATAGATAGATAGATAGATAGATAGATAGATAGATAGATAGATAGATAGATAGATAGATAGATAGACAGATAGACAGATAGATAGATAGATGATAGATTTATTTTTTTCCCCGTTTTCTGTTTAACAAAGAGAAGATTTTTTTCGACACATTTCTAAACATAATAGTTTTAATAACTGATTTATTTTATCTTTGCCATGATGACAGTAATTAATATTTGACTTGATCTTTTCAAGACACTTTTATACAGCTTAAAATGACATTTAAAGACTTAACTTGGTTAATTAGGTTAACTAGTCAGGTTAGGGTAATTAGGCAAGTTATTGTATAACGATGGTTTGTTCTGTAGACTATCTGTAGATTATTCTTGTCGAAATAAAACAAATAAGTCTTTCTCCAGAAGAAAAAATATTATCAGACATACTGTGAAAGTTTCCTGAATCTGTTACAAAATAATTTGCGAAATATTTAAAAAAGAGAAAAAAAAATCAAAGGGGGGCTAATAATTTTGACTTCAACTGTATGTACAGATTTTTGAGCCCATCATTCAATTTACTTATTTACAGTATGTATATATTGACTTTACTTATAATGTATTTATTTAGTTTTTATATTTTAGTAATATTATTGAATAATATGAAAATGTACTTATGATTTACCTACAATAAAATTTGTGAATAATATCTTCTGTCTTTAGTGGTTGTATTATATGATATTATGATATGATTATGATATGATATTACTACTGTACCTTTGCTAACAAACAAGTGGTTCTAATTGAATTTGCATTATAAACCTAAATTGTAATTTAATTTCTATTATTATTATTTATTATATGTTAAGTTTTTGGATTCTATACTCTCAAAATCATTTCTCATGAATCAGATTTTGTTTTTTTTTACAAAATACTGAAATAGCAAAAAAAAAAAAACGATTTTGACTGGTTTTTGCAATCAGTCGGCCATAGAGAGCACACTGTAAATGCCACAGAATCTAATGAAATGCATATTTTGCTGATTAGTTCTGATGAAAATGATCAATGCTTGTCTTGTTTTGACCTATACTAATCAGTCGAACTGGGAAAAAAAACAAAAACATTTTGAGTTCTAAAAGACTGACAGAAATTACACCAAATAAATTCAAATATAGCCTATTAACCTTAATCAAACTAAGTCAGTTTGTTAAAATATTTCTCATTTTCCTGTTTACTAATTTCTTCTCTATTTGATTTAACAGCTTCCACATGTTTACATTTGAGTAACAAACTCATGACATAAATGAAAATACTCTATAAATATAGTTTCAACTGTTTTTGTTGTTTGTAGGATGTAACAGTTGTTGTAAATGCCTCATATGCAGAAAAGAAACTAATTCTGAAGGCCACTGCACAGCGGTAAGATATATTCAGATATATTTTTGCATGGAAAACAAGTTTAGTATTGAGTATTTGTCCCTGTTTTTTTTTGTGTTTTGTCACCAACATAGTATTTCTATAACAAATGTTTCCTCGTCGGAAGGAGCAATTGAGGTGAGAGTAAAACTAATTAGATTAATTTAGTTTCTATATTTTGTATCATGAACATTATGTAATTTCATCAAAGATGGAGGAGAGCTTGAGAGCTTATCTGCAGGAGGCTGTGGAGAAGATGGGAATCCCCAAAGTTGTGTCATGTAAGTGTGTCCATCTTAAGCAAACAGTGTAAATTGTGTGTTTTATTTTTCCTTGCCATCATATTTGATCTTTGTTTTCAGACCTGGAGGTAGAATTGACCTCTTTGATGGATGAACATGGGCTCAATCTTTTTGACATCTTCAATCCCGAAGTTGTACCTCAGGACGTGAGTGTATTACATTAGCAGATAACCTTAAAATACTTTACCAAAAAAACTATCGATCTACATTTTAGTTACCATCATGTATGGTAAATTTTTTTTTTATAATTATTTCTAATTTATGAAACTAATATTAATTCTATAAAATGTATTTATGTGCTGATACAGGGTTATGTGATGGTACAGCTGGATTTTGGATTTCCACAACATCTGCTGGTTGAGTTCCTCAAAAGGACGCTGGATTGACAGTTTTTCTCACACAAACACAAAGTTTGTAGAAATAGTTTGAGGAACACACACACACACACACACACACACACACACACACACACACGCACAAATACAATTGACTATGTGACTATATATATAGTGTAACTATTGAGCATTCAAACTTTTTTTAAATACGAAAGTGTCAATCATCATGATCTTGTTTTATGTACATGTCCTTTAGTAATATTATCTGATGACCTTCATAATGTTATTCAGAGGTTGTGTTACCAATATTAAACATTTCCTGATGCTGTCTCACATAATTGCATGTAGCAGCTTTCTGGTTAAACCTGTTTTTTCTTTAAAAAAAAAATGGTCTCTCTTTATTTTTCCAAAATAATCCTGTGTGAGTATATACACACACACGCACACAAACACACACGCACACAAACACACACACACACACACACACACACACACACACACACACACACACACACACACACACACACACACACACACACACACACACACACACACACACACACACACACACACACACACACACACACACACACACACACACACTGGCCACTTTATTAGGTACACCTGTCCAACTGCGCGTTTACGCAAATTTCTGATCAGCCAATCACATGGCAGCAACTCAAGGCATTTAGGCATGTAAACATGGTCAAGATGATCTATTGAGGTTCAAACCGAGCATCAGAATGGGGAAGAAAGGTGATTTAAGTGACTTTGAATGTGGCAAGGTTGTTGGCGCCAGACAGGCTGGTCTGAGTATTTCAGAAACTGCTGATCTACTGAGATTTTTCTAGGGTTTAAAGAGAATGGTCAGGAAACCAGAACATATCCAGTGAGCGGCAGTTCTGTGGGAAGCAGAACACCACACCGTTTGCCACTCCTGTCAGCTAAGAACAGGAAACTGAGGCTACAATTTGCATAGGCGCACCAAAATAAGACAATAGAAGATTGGAAAAACGTTGCCTGGTCTGACGACCAACATAAAAGCATGGATCCATAATGCCTTGTATCAATGGTTCAGGCTGGGGCTGGTGGTGTAATTTGTGGGGCAATATTTTCTTGGCACACTTTGGACCCATTAGTACCAATTGAGCATCGTATCAATGCCACAGCTTACCTGAGTATTGTTGCTGACCATTTCCATTCCTTTATGACCACAGTGTTCTCATCTTCAGATGGCAAATTCCAGCAAGGTAACGCACCATGTCATAAAGCGCTAATAATCTCAGACTGGTTTTTTTGAACATGACAATAAGTTCACTGTACTCAATTAGCCTCCACAGTCACCAGTCTCAATCCAATAGAGCACCCTTGGGATGTGGTGGAACGGGAGATTGGATTCATGGATGTGCAGCCGACAAATCTTCAGCATCTGGGTGATACTATCATGTCAATATGGACTAAAATCTCTGAGGAATATTTCCAGTACCTTGTTGAATCTATGCCACGAAGGATTAAGGCAGTTCTGAAGGCAAAAGGGGTCCAACCCGGTACTAATAAGGTGTACCTAATAAAGTGCCCAGTGAGTGTATATACACATTTGAGAAGTTATAATGAATGAGGACAGAAGCTTTTAACACTAAGAACATTTTTGTGTAGCTAAAGCTATACAGTGTTAATAAATAAGTGTTTTGCAGGTGTTTTATCTATTTTTATAGTAAAGATCCATAATGTGTTTAAAGTTAGGGGCGACGCAGTGGTGGAGTAGGTATTGCGGTCACCCCCACAGTTCAAAGACATGCGCTATAGGTGTATGGATGTTTCTTAGAGATAGGTTGCAGCTGGAAGGGATCCGCTGCGTAAAACATATGCTGGATAAGTTGGCGGTTCATTCCGCTGTGATAACCCCGGATTAATAAAGGGACTAAGCCGTAAAGAAAATGAATAAATCAGTGTTTCTCAAACTGTGGTACATGTACCACTAGTGGTACAAGGGTTTCCTTCTAGTGGTACGCGGAAGAATCACTGAATAATAAAAGAATTAAATGAACACATTTTTAACCAGGTTTTCCAGGTTTTGATGAATAGATTAATACTTCACAACTACAGCAGTTTCCTTTTTACTTTTTAAGAACAGTGCCACTTGTAATTAACCTTTAACAGCACATTTTAATTTAAATGAAGAAGTTTTTTTTGTCTGCAAGAACAGTTAATGTTTAAACTTATAATGTTTAAAGTGGCTGACAATCATACATATTCTTAATAATAGGAATAAATCTGCCCCATTTTAAACTTTGAAGAGCTGTAGCTGTTTAATTAGGCCTGCTATGCTACTTTATTACAATGCTGGCCATTATGGTGGTACTTGGAGAGACTTTTTTTCTGAGGTGGTACTTGGTGAAATAAGTTTGAGAACCACTGGAATAAATGAATGTTTAAAGTCTAAAGAAATAAATTAAACAGACAATGTGCTGGTAATTTTTTGCTGATTTGTAGCCTGTTTTTCAGAGAAGAATTTCCACTTGAGCTTTGAATAAACTGTATGCAAATATGTGCAAATTTTAGCTAATTCAAAGAGATAATGCTTCGATTGCGTGCGTAGATTTAGACTTGGAAGTAAAACGGTGATTATATAATATATAGAAGGTAGATTATAGAAAATAAAGCTCCGCATACCATCTTTCTAATTGTCTTTTTACCTGACAGTATCTTGATGTCCTTAAAAGGAGGACAGTAATTCAATATCTCCACTGGGTGGCGTCAGTGCAAAGATAACAACCTATGATAACACGCACAACAGTCCTGTCCTCATATGCCCTCTCACTCAGTTAGAATGTACACAGACGACGAACTTCAGTTGGTAAACCTAATGTTTTGTAAGCGTCTTGCACACTTTGTAAGTGACTGATTGTGCTGCTCATTAACCAAATAATACAACGTCGAATTTACAGTATGTACAGCATAAACGCTAAACTTATTTAATTCCCATACGAATTGACTATAAGTTAACTTAATAAGAGAATGACGCATTCGATAAAAAATGCTCTGGGTCGTCATGTGCTGGCCTGAAAAAGTATTAGAAGAGATGCGGATGCCATGTTTCGTCGTCGATAGATAAAAATGATGTTGTAGGGTACATTAAAGCACGTATTGGACGCACCAAAAAAAAAAAAGTTAGCTGATCTGTCTCGCGCCAAAATCCTGGCATAATGAGATCCGTTTTTCTTATGCATGTGAATGGAATCGAAACCAAACCTGAGCGGGTTGCTTTCATTTTCTCCTTTCAATTGGACAGATGCGTTATGCCACCAGCGGTGAGTACATTATATACGATAGCTTATTATAACCATACAGAGCATTTTAAATAGTTACAGTTCTGAACATATTGACTAACATTAGCATACAGAGGGGGCTCGGAGCTCAGACACAACAACAGTGTCCAGGACTGGTTTTGTCATTTCCTGCTGGTCACTATAAATGCGCACCAGCTAGCCTATAATGTTTACCTTTATGTTTCAGTGATAGATAAAGCCGTAGCATTTGCTCCACAATATTATTATGTAGGAATGAGTGCTGAACGTGTGCCATCCTGAAAACGTTTAACTACTGTGCAATAATTTGACATATCTGATCTGTATAGCAACCATTTTGTTAGGAAAAACTTGAGTATATGTGTAATCCATCTTCTATCAGTATTTGAAGCATTTAACTACTACCTAGTGAACTGAAAGTGTCGAGCTGACTTACAGAAGTGCATGTTGTTTTTAGCTATGCCAAACAAAGCCCGTGCACTGGCATCATTTGCTTTGCCACATGTTGTAGATAGGTAGGTGTTCAACAACATTAGTTAGCACAACATTAACTGTAGTTTTGTTTTGAAGTGAATTAAACACACTGAATAAAGGGTCTTAATGAGTTATCTGTTTTAAACAGCTAATGGATGAGGATGGAGAGGATGGACTGGTCGGGGGACGCCCTGACACTGGTAGCCCAAGAGGCCAGTGTACTGGTGGACTTGCTCTGCGAACAGGATAGTAGTGTTTTGGACCATATCTTTGACTTGTTGGAATCTAACACACAGGATGAGATACGATCACTGATCAACAATAGAGATCGTGTCTCAGCCATCGTGGATTACTTCAAGACTTCAGACAATATCACATGTAGAAAGTTTTTCTGCACCATATATGAGTACTGTAAAGACATCCCTTTCTATCTTGAAACTACACTAGTGTCAATAGCTGGAGATCCAATTGGTAAGTCATGTTCTGCAATAATTTTTTTAATGTAGTTATACTGCAGCATTTCTCTTTTTCTACCATATAAAATGCTTAATATTTAATATTAAAGCATAATTGCATTACTTTATGACTACTTTAGTTTATAACTACTTTAATTACTGCATAATTTAAGAACATATTAGTTCATAATTTGTTTTATTTAACTCGTACATCTTTTTTTAGAAAGTATTTAAAGTGAAAGTGAAAGTATCCTTGCACATTAAATAAAAGAAACAATGAATGCTACTAAATTCTGTGTTATAAATATTTTCTGAATGACTTTTCTTTGCTTTTAAGACACAAACTTTCCTCTTACAGATAATTATTCATCATCAAGAAATGTGAAACGTCTACGACTAGGTATGTTTTATTGTTACAGGAACACACCCATTTTGACTCTATTATTGAGACTCTGATCCCCAGCAGTTCAATTTAAACAGTGAACAGAAAGCCTTTAAATGATCTACATTTCTCGGTGTTTTTAATTTATTTTGTATTTATCATTTTTGTATAACATTATTAGGTTTTTTTAAGCTTTTACAATAAATTAAACCACAATACCCAAAACTTACCCCAGACAGATTTATTCAATCACTCATTTTCTTTTTGGCTTAGTACCTTTATTAATCAGGGGTCGTCATAGCGGAATGAACCGCCAACTTATGCAGCATATGTTTTACGCAGCGGATGCCCTTCCAGCCGCAACCCTACACCCATACACTCTTGCATTCACACACACACACACACACACACACACACTATGGTTAATTTAGCTTATTCAGTTCATGTATACTGCATGTCTTTGGACTGTGGGGGAAACCGGAGCATCCAGAGGAAACCCACGCGAACACAGGGAGAACATGCAAACTCCACACAGAAATGCCAACTGATCCAGCTGGGGCTCAAACCAGCGATGTTCTTGCTGTGAGGCAATCGTGCTACCCACTGTGATACCTACAGACAGGTTTAGTAAAAAACAAATGAAATAATAATCATTATTTAACTAAAATAATAATAATAATAAAAAAAATAAATAAATAAATCTAATCAAACACCAATTCATTCATTCATTTTTTTGGCTTAGT